GACAGTCTTTTGTTTATAAGAAACCAACAATACGAAAAGGTGGATCAGCTTTTGTAATGCAATCTTGTAATGTTCTTTTCTCATGAATCGAAGCTCGTCTTGCCAAATCAACAACACCGTCGGCAAGGCAAAATTCTCTCCTATCCGATAGTGGAATTGATTTGCGTAGGTGAGCTTTATTTTGCAAGATAAGGTCATTACAAGTTTGCTGATCCACTCTTTAGTATTGTTGGTCGAGAAGTCTTCTCGAAAATCGTTTGTTCAAACATCAGTTAGGATGATTTCAGGAAGAGTCCACAAATGGTCTCATGATGGCTGAGATGCCCTATCACTTCAAGTGTTCTAGAGCACACATTTCGGTTACAGTTGTAACATCGCTCATGAAATTGGAACTCCCTATTTGCTGCATTGAATTAGATTATCGAGAAATAGTGGATGAAATCGGATAATAACGGAATTTATCACAAAAACTCGAAACTATGAAGCAAATTTTTTTAGAAATCCGTCATATGAAATATAGAGCGGATTACTTTCGTTCCCCTCGCTCTTAGGAGTATTTCAAAGCAGTTTTGAGAAAAGTTTAAAGGAAATTTCCAACGAAGTTTTGAGGTAAATTTCAAAGGAAAACAATGAAAGCTTCAAGGTTGTTCCTGTAATCATCTTTAGAGAACCTCAATGAAGAGTAGGGAATTTTGATGATCATTCAAGAAATTCTCGAAACCACTCTAATGGCGGTAAGCTCCATCGAGAATAATACGCGATTTAATCCAGATTTTAATACCCCATTCGGTAAGCACCAAGAGAGGATAAATCTTAGAAAGCACGCAGCCATTCTCTCTCGCATAGCATACTATCATAGTATCTCTATAGAGAATTTCGAGGTGAGTGCCTTAAGGCATGTAGGTGGAAGAAGAGTACTGGTCTAGATGTTCTGCTCACTGCTGCTTTAGGATCTGCCATCGACGTTGGAAGCCGTCTTCGAATACCTACTTCTATTTTGTTCAACAAAGCCAGTTCAAAACCATACCCAATACATTCCACGACGATGATGCTATCCAGGAGACAGAAGGTTTTCTGAGGCCGCTGGATATTGTAACGTCTTGTAAGAAGATTATTTCGGAGATGCTGTACTGCGGATTGATGATCGAGAATCCGACGAATCACGAATGTGATATCGGCTTGTTACTGTATAGCGTGGATTGAGGTGAGTAGTTTGAACTGGTCCACGATGGAAAATGAACAGGTGGGCAGGAACTCACAGTCTCCCAGTGTTGGTGAGTTCTTTGCCGTTAATGTTCACGAAAAGTTCACTATTTTGCTATACAGAAATTCAAAACAAAAATTTTATCTGCGGATTTGAACAGTTTTTGACCTGTTTCATACTACCGGAAGGTGTATGCTGGTCACAAATGCCGTGCCAAACTGATTTCCTACTCAATTAATCAATCTTTGATGTGAAATTCGCTAATAAATACGAGGCGCATTTCGTATAGCAAACATGCCATAACAAAATGGGCATGGTTCATTTAAGTAAACAAACTAACACTTCTTCCGACTGTTACACCTATGTATTAGCCGTCTCGGAACTGGTCGGCAAATCGCTGGGTCTCTTTGAAGAGTACGCAGGAGAGGCGCCATCTGGCAATGCAGGACTGTCCCATTATTAAGAGGGAGATGCTCTATAAATGACCTAGATGGAGCATTTATGTCAGGATCTTCAAGCTCTCCCGAACCATTAGAGTCCCGACATTTACCGGCATTTATAGAGCATCTCCGAACAGGCTTGCATTGTCAGGTGGTGCCTTTCCTGCGTACTCTTCAACGAGTCTTAGAGATTTGCCGACCGGTCCACAACACTCACTCTTAAGTCAGTAACAAGTCCTCACCCTTAAGTCAATCACTAATAGCGATGCACCGAATAGTGCTATTCGGCCATTAACCAAAATTTTGTCTGATACATGTATTAGGCCTTTTCTCAGCTAGCCGACAAGGTGTTGGAGTGAAATTTTGAGAGTACAAAGCTTGATATTCGGTCGAATAGTATGGTGATCAAATATTTGGTGCAACACTACTGTGTTACCTGACTTATAACGAATATGCGTTGTGTACGAGTACCCCGAATACAATGTATGACTCGTCTAATTGAACATAGCATTTGCAATCCGACGATAAGTTCAGAGAACTTCTGACAAGAAGTTTACAAAACTTCCTTGAAGTTCCGACGAAAAGTTTAGACAAATTTCGACGAGAGGTTCAGAGTACTTCTGATGAGAAGTTCATAGATCTTGCACCGAGTAGTTCAGGGAACTGTCGACGAGAGGCTCAGAGAACTTCCGATAAGAAGTTTACAGAACTTTTGAAGACTATTTCAAAAAACTTTTGACGTACATTTCACAGAACTTCCCACAACAAGACCACAGAACTTAATTAAAATTCTCAGAGTATTTCCGGTGAGAAGTTTGCAGATCTTCCGATGACAGTTTCAGCGAATTTCCGACGATATGTTTATTGAACTTCCGACGACAGAACATAAGACGCGAAGTTCAGAGAACTTCCGACGAATTTTCACAGAACTTCCGACGAAAAGTTCACAGAACTTCATTAAAGTTCCCTGAAGTTAGAACCAGAAGTACAGCGAACTTCCTTCGAGAAGTTTAGAAAACTTACGACAAGAAGATCAAAGAACTTCCTGGAATTTCTATCGAAAAGTTTGGAGAACTTCCGTAGAGAGGTTCAGAGAACTTCCGGCGACAAGTTCAGAGATCTTCTAAAGAGAAGTTCCAAGAGGTTCACAGAACTTAATAAAAAGTCCCTGAAGTTCCGACGAAAAGTTCAGAGTACTGCCGTTGAGAAGTTCAAAGAACTGCCGACAAGAAGTTCTGAGAACGTCCGAAGATAAGTCCTGAGAATTTCCGAGGAGAAGTCCATAGAACTTCCGAAGAGCAATTCTGAGATTTTCTGGCGAGAAGTTCTGAACACCTCTGGCGAGGAATTCAGAGAATTTTCGACAAGAAACTCTTAGTGCGTCTGACAAGATGTTCACAGATGTTCCGACGAGAAGTTCAGAGAACTTCTGAGGAGAAGATCAGAGAACTTAAGGCGAGAAGTTCCAGCGAGAAGTTCTAAGAACATCCGATGAAAAATTCAGGTGAACTTCCGATGAGAACATCCGAGGAGAAATTCTGATAACTGCGGACAATAAATTCCGAGAAGTACTACAAATTCACAGTTATTTCGACGAGAAGTTCCTCCAGAAGAGTAGCATAATCAGGAACATAACCCATCCCGAATAGGCAACAAGTTTTTCGGCAAACATGGAACATGCAGTAGGGGAAATATCATGTTGCGGAAAAGTCCGCTGTGGGGTTTCATATTCATTCCGACACTTTCCATCACTTGATGCTTCCTCCCGAATAAGATCCGTTAAGGTTTTCAAAATTTATTTGATGCAGCGATAAGCGAGTTGGATTTCGCGATTATACACGGCCACTGAGAATAACTCAGAGAGGTTAACTTCTACTCAGTTGTATAAGAAATTTCTGAAAACTGCAGGTACTCAGCGCTAAGTTCCTGCAGTTTTTGGAAATTTCTCCATACCTCTGAGTAAAAGTGACTTTCTCTCTGAGTTATTCTCATTGACCGTGTAATCAGAAAAATTACATCAATTTGATGCTCGTGCATGTGTGTGTCCCCAAGACTCGGCGTATTAAAAATATACCCGAGATTAAAATTGATACGGCATGGTGCTTAGCAAAATCGAGGCTGATTTAGATATTGGCGTATTATCCTCGATGGAGCTTACCGCTATAAAAGAATTCTGTTCAGGAAGCCCAGAAAAAAAAAATCACAGATATGCGATGATGTTCAATCACCGACAAACCGACATGAATGACCATAGCAAAAACAATAAAATTTCTGAACAAAGCACACTACTGACATCTGGCTCCGTGTTCTCTGGAAAATTTAGATAAGCCATGAACCCACACGCAAAAGTTATGAATTGGTTCATATCTGATCTATTCTGGACAAATTATTTTTATCTAGATCAAAAACTCCTATGGTTTTGACAGTTCGGATCACTACACATTTAAATCGACCATTTACGATTTTCGGCCATAAGTTAGAATGAAGTGTCATGTCGGTTTGTCGGTGGTTCAATTATAGATAATTTGTTTAGATTACAATCATAGACAGCATATCAAGAAGACTGGCAACTTTGCCTGAATTCGAGCGACAGATACAGTAGCGCTGCGGTCGAGCGAAGGCGGAAGCAACGCCTAAAAAATGAGCAAATACACAAACCTTTCTTCTGAGGATGGAACCTTTGCTATCGAATCCGTTCGGAGTATTTACCTTTGAGCGGCAGATGACGCGATTGTGCCTGTCTCATACCGGTCGTCTGAGAAAATGGATGAGTTGCCAGTATTCTTGATGTGTAGTCTTCGTTACAATTCAACTCTATCTTTTAGATTTTCGTTTCCATTAATCAGGTTTTCGTTGTTGTTGATTAAAATTGTGCTATCCTTGCTCTTCAATGAGTTTATGATCGCTATTTTCTGTGAGAAATAATGGAAACAGAAAATTAACTGTATTGACTTTATCGAATATCGATACATACATTTCTATTTCTGACCTCCATTTGACTTCTGTTTGTTGAAAGAAATCTTGAAGCATGCAGATTGAGATTGTGAGGAGCTCAAACAATCGGATTCCGCATTCTGCAATTTAATTTTGGATTTTATTAAATTATCACGCTTATGAAACTTCAAGTAGACGACCTGGGGATCTGAAATCGTTCACACAATTGTTTTGGTGTCGCCATATTGAACTTATGAATAAGTAAAACAAATTTTCGCACTATTGCGATTTCGTTTAAGCTGCTTGAATTTCACATAACTTTCACCAGTATGACACTTTAATTCGACCAGTCAATCCAGTGCTACCTGAATTGCATGTTTCTCGTTGATCCACGTCTATAACACCTTCCATTACCATTCCAGCCTACCGTACCGACGAGGGCAAACCATGGATCCTGCCGGTGGTGAAGAAGGCCGAAGCAGCCATCGTGGCCGACGGTAGCCTGAATCACGAGTACCTCCCGGTTCTGGGAATGGACACCATGACCAATGCGGCCACCACGCTGCTCCTGGGTGACGACTCGGAAGCCATCAAGAGCAAGCGAGCCTTCGGCATTCAGTGCCTGTCCGGAACCGGAGCTCTGCGGGTGGGTGCTGAGTTCCTCGCCCGTATCCTCCAGCGAACCACGTTCTACTACTCGTCACCGACGTGGGAAAATCACCACAAGGTGTTTGTGAACTCCGGTTTCACCGAACCACGTACCTACCGCTATTGGCACCAGGAACGCCGCGGTATCGACTTTGAGGGTATGATTGAAGATCTGAAGAATGCGCCGGAGGGAGCGGTCATCATTCTGCACGCCTGTGCCCATAATCCTACCGGAAACGACCCGACGCAGGAACAGTGGAAGGAGATCGCCGACGTTTGCGAGGAGAAGAAGCTGTTCCCGTTCTTCGATTCCGCCTATCAGGGATTCGCCAGTGGCGATCCCAACAAGGATGCCTTCGCCGTCCGGTACTTTGTGGAGCGTGGCTTTGAGCTGCTCTGCGCGCAGAGCTTCGCCAAGAACTTTGGATTGTACAGTGAGTAACTTGTGTTCAGAATGATTGTCTTCCGAAGTTAACATCGGTTCTTTCAGATGAACGTATCGGCAACCTAACGGTCGTCCAGAAGGACGCTTCCACCAAGGCGGCCGTAGCCTCGCAGATCACGCTGCTGGTCCGAGGAATGTACTCGAACCCACCGGCCTTCGGTAGTCGCATCGTTGGCATGGTGCTGAACGATAAAGCTCTGCGGGCCGAGTGGATGGAATGCATCAAGACGATGAGTTCCCGTATCATCACCATGCGCAAGGCTTTGTACGATGAACTGATCGCACTGAAGACGCCAGGAACGTGGGAACACATCACCCAGCAGATTGGCATGTTCTCCTACACCGGGTTGAATGGTAAGAACCATAGCAAAATTTGTTAGTCGATCAATTTTCTAAGTTCTACAACATTTCAACAGAGAAACAAGTGGATATTCTGATCAATGAGTTCAGCATCTACCTGTTGAAGACCGGTCGCATCAGCATGTGCGGTTTGAACGCGAACAACGTCAATTACGTGGCAAAGGCTATCCACGAGGCAGTTACTCGCGCTTCCTCCAAAATTTAGCTTCGGAAAACTAAAAAAAAAAAGCCGTTGTTCCTAGAACAGTTTATTATTTTATGTGATTATGTGAGTCCTTAAAAATTATCCTGCTATGCAGGCAGCAATTATTCGCAGGTGAATCAAAAAAGTTCGATCATTTATCTGTTCTTGGTTTGGAATCGTATAATACCGCCCTACAATCTTAAATTGTGCAAGCAACTACTCAGCAAGTCCTCCACTGAAACCGAGGTAGTAAATACAACCGACTCAAGCAAAGCATGTACAAATTTTTCCAACATAAATCCAACACAAGAACCAAGCGAAGTTTAGCGACACTTTTTGTAATCGACATATTTTATACTCCATTAGAGGCACGACAGAACAATAATAACAAACAACAACGATTCGTATTCCAAGCAACAAAGCATTTAGATAACGCAATTATAGTGGCTACTAATGAAAACAGGCTTAATTGATTTGTTTGACCGTGGTTTGAAGAATGGCATTGATTTATGGCGCAAAACGGCGGACAAGGATTGGAACATAGGTGAGCGTTGGCCAGATTTGGATTTTTCAGATATAATCCTAAATAGGACCTAGATTATTTAATACTCTAGTAACCTCAAGTCCGTGCTCTGTCACAATGTTTCATTGTGATTAATCAACACTCAAAGGGGTAAAATATCAAATTTGGGGTGAAGTTGAAAGAAAGGGAACTTGGAGTGTAGAGCGCACTGCCCACTGGACGATTCTGAAGCCTGGCCAAGTGAGTGGGGTATGGGTTTATTTGATTGAACGTGATTTCCAATGTATATATTGATACATTCAAACCATTGGCATTTGACGTAAGACAGAGATAGGATGCGGAGGGCCCGCTTAGGGGAAGCGTAACCCATGTTATGGTTTCCATTTATTAAATAGTTCATGAAGGCTGGAAATGACAGGTTCATAGTGAGAAAATGTACCATATGGGGCCCGTCCACTGATCAAAATCAGATTTACATCGTCAGACCCTGCCCAAGAATAAGGGGATTGACGATGTCTTGTCAAGTTTTATTTTGAATTTGCGTTTTGCATTTAATACTCTAGTAAATCTCGCGTCCGTGCTCATTCACAACAGTGTGATGTGTCAATACTCACTGGGTTATGTGTCTTAGACCAGTTCCAGATTAGTTTGCTATTAATATCTTCTGCATCGCAGTTCGCGATAGATTACTAAATATGGGTTCTCTTTTCCGACCATAATAGTGTGAGGGAAGGGGTTGAGTTAAACGTTGCGATATGAGAGTGTATAGAGGCAAATAAATAGGGAAGACAACACTATGACCCAAATAAGTAACCAATGCATGCGGCTCACACTTAACTTGTTCTATTTCTTTCTTTCTTCCTATCATGTACTAATATTAACTGCCTGAGGACAAATGGAAACACGACCAGAAGTTCAATAGGAGAAAAGTAGCGAGAAAATTCGAACAAGAAAAGAAGAATTAAACTTGCACCGGCAAGAGGAAGCAGACAGAAAGGATCATGCCGGTTGGAGACAGCCAATGTATACTGGACGAAGCTTGTATCTAGGAAAAGTCGTCAGTAAGTAGGATAAGAATCGTAAAAGGTGTGTGCTTGCATGATAAGATCCTAACTTTACTTTAAATACACGGTAGGAATCGAATATCCATTTATGATTAAGGTTTTGCCCATTTTTCAGTGGGAGTGGCAATACTCATCTATGAGTGATTTATCGTACCCATTTATTAGTAACTGTTAGCAGCTAATGATTAATTGATTTACCTATTTTAGAATTACCTATACTTCACATCAGAACCTCATTTCCTTCAATTACTACTCCGTCGCAGCACACACCTTATATGGATCGCTAACCTTTATTTAGTTTCAGCATTTTCGACATTTTAATCAAAAGGTGAGTTTTAAAAGTATAATTACCATGCATATAGATAAGTTAATGTACCAGAACCTGGACGGACACGAGCCTACCCAGGGGAGGACCCGGATACGACCACCCATGTGTGTCTAGAGTATCGCACGAGCTGACGAGTGCAACGGGAAGGACAGTAGGTGTATAGACTAGGGGGTTCTTAGCGGAAGGCACAGCCTAGGGGAAAGTAGGTAAAGATGGACACTGCAGGAAAGATGGACACTAACCGTAATTCGTAAATAAAAGTTTCATGTAATGTTTCAGTGACGGAACAACTTTTGATATAGTGTAGCAATACTTTTGGGACTCACTGTTGATATCGAAGACGCTAACTGTCAAAATTATAAACAAAACAAATATTTTCTTCGTGGATACGCTAGTGGAAGTAATTTTGCGTCGACGGACTATTGCTTCTAAGTCATAACGGTATTGTGTTTCTGCGTTCTTTCTACGATAACCAGTTATCCTGATCATCGACCACAAATCTGGTGAAGAAACGGTAATTTTTTGGATATTTAGTCAAGAGCTATGGACGTTTTAAAAATAATGATAAAGTTGGGAAAGATGGACACTCTAAGATTTGGGAAAGACGGACATAAAGGTGCTGAATGAATCTTGATTGTTTCACTTGTTTCGATTAACAGATGCCTACGAAATATGTTCGCAAGAGCAACCGGAAGTCGTGGACCAACCAGCAGTTGGATCAGGCTGTAAAAGCAGTGAAAAAGTTGGAAGGGTTGTATACTAGATACGACCGCAGGGTTGGCGTTGGATAACGTCTGTTATGTGTTGTATTTAATTGTGTATATTATATTTTAGGAATATTCCTTAATAACTCTTTTGCGAAAGTTTGGTGGCCCTGAAAAGGGCCGTTTTGTTGGGCTGATGTTATTCGGTTTGCTCTACTCTGTCGCCCTGGAGGAGCTTTGGAATGATGTTGGTAGTTCGAAGACAGACAGCATCTCCCCTTCCAGCGTTCCCACACCCCAGTATAGTCCCCAAATTTAAGTGTAACTGTGATATTCTGGATAGAAATTGTTTTCAAAACTAACTCTTTGTCGAATTATTGGTGGCCCTGAAAAGGGCCGTTTTGGTTGTGGTTTTGGAATGATAGACTCAATAAATGATTATGTTTGAAAAATTTCAGTTTTTGCTCCGATCAACAACCATACGGGGCAATATGAGGACCCTAGAGTCGGTGTATAATGAGTCACGCCAAGAGTGAAGCCAAGTCTACCTATTGAACTGTCAAACCGGCTACCTATCGCGTAAAGTACACAAACATTACGATGCTATGAAAGATCCACGAAAGGTATTGCAATAAAATATAAAATATAATCGAAGAAATGATCATAAACACGCAGTGAGCAATAAATTGTCATGGGATACGTTTGGTAATGATCACTTATGATAATTTCTACTATTTTTGGTTAAGATAATTTGACTAAATCACTGATATAATGATTTACTAAAGCCGCTATATTTTTTTCTCGCTGGAAGTCATTTGAAGTTGATGTAGGAATCCTCTGTTGCAAAGTGAAAAGAAAGGGAAGAAAGGAGGCAAAGTCAAGGGAAAGGCAAAGTCCCGTTCGAGCCGCGCTGGATTGCAGTTTCCAGTCGGTCGTATTCACCGTCTACTCCGAAAGGGCAACTATGCCGAGCGTGTTGGAGCCGGTGCTCCCGTCTACCTGGCTGCCGTGATGGAGTATCTGGCCGCTGAAGTTCTCGAGTTGGCAGGAAATGCCGCTCGTGACAACAAGAAAACCCGAATTATCCCACGTCACCTGCAGTTGGCCATCCGCAACGACGAAGAGCTGAACAAACTTCTTTCCGGAGTGACCATCGCTCAGGGTGGTGTCCTGCCAAACATCCAGGCGGTCCTGTTGCCCAAGAAGACCGAAAAGAAGGCCTAAATTCGATCCAAGTTCCCACCCTTTAACAAAATCCGTCCTTTTCAGGACGACCAATTTGATGGTAAAGAGTTTCGTTTTCAAAACAGTTTATTTCGTGGTGCGCAAGGAGTGATAAAATGAATCCATTAAAAACATGGTTGAATCTTTCTGTCATGCTCTCCCTAGTTAATTGATATCCTCATCGACTAGGTTCGATGATGGTTGATTAGTGTAGGCGTGTCTTGAATTCCAAGAAATTAACCAGTGCAGTGTTATCATTCCATCCAATCAATCGACTAAATTTTCAATAGCGCCCTAAAATATCCATCAGTACCGTCTCAACGACGCGTTCATATAGATAAGATAGGTAAATAGCAGATTTTTAGCGATGGGCCCAATCTTAGATCCATTTCCCCTACCTTGCAGAGCTGCGGTGGCCCTGGACTTATGGCCTACATTGATGCAGCGGAATTAAATTCATTAGCAAATTACGGTTGAGATTTCAGAAATGATCGTGGTGTGCGTCCAATTTGAAGTGTGGTGTGATTTCTGATAAGGTATTAAAGGGTGATACGGTCAAAATTTGGTCAAGGGAAAACGCGTGTAAATCGGTGAAATCGTTTATTTAAAAAATCAAATTAAATTTCTTTTTCAAGTTCAATTAGTATAGAATTCAGGAAAAATATTCAGTTAGGCTTCCGCTTTTCCAAATCCCCTGATCCCCTGCCATCAGATTTTGTACAGCCGTCCACCTTCTACACCGCAGAAAGCCAGTTTGCCTTGAACTGCTGCTCGCCCTTAGCAGTTTTTTTGGTCTTCTTTAGGTTCCGCTTGACAATAGCCCAGTATTTCTCAATTGGGCGGAGCTCTGGCGTGTTGGGAGGGTTCTTGTCCTTGGGAACCACCTGCACGTTGTTGGCGGCGTACCACTCCATGGCCTTTTTACCGTAATGGCAAGATGCCAAATCCAGCCAAAACAGTACGGAACAACTGTGTTTCTTCAGGAAAGGCAGCAGACGTTTATTCAAACACTCTTTCACGTAAATTTCTTGGTTGACAGTCCCGGAAGCTATGAAAATGCTGCTTTTCAAGCCACAGGTACAGATGGCTTGCCAAACCAGATATTTCTTTGCGAACTTTGACAGTTTCATGTGCTTGAAAACATCTGCTACCTTTCCCCTTCCTTTTGCCGTATAAAACTCCTGTCCCGGAAGCTGCTTGTAGTCGGCTTTGACGTAGGTTTCGTCGTCCATTACCACGCAGTCAAACTTCGTCAGCATCGTCGTGTACAGCCTCCGGGATCGCGCTTTGGCCGTCGTATTTTGTTTATCATCGCGATTTGGAGTCACTACCTTCTTGTAAGTCGATAGTCCGGCTCGTTTTTTGGCTCGATGCACGGTTGTAGACGATACACCCAGCTTATTTGCGGCATCTCGGAGAGAGAGGTTAGGGTTTCGCTTGAAACTACCGGCAACTCTCTTTGTCGTCTCAGCGGCTTCCGGTTTTCGATTTCCCCCCGATCCAGACTTCCTGGCTGTCGACAAACGTTCCCCAAACACTTTAATTACATTTGTAACGGTTGATTTGGCAACTTTTAGTGATTTTGCCAACTTTGCGTGCGAGTAGCTCGGATTTTCGCGATGCGCGAGCAAAATTTTGATACGCTGCTCTTCTTGCTTGGACGGCATTTTGACAACTGAAGAGTGAATTCCAAAATCAAAATAGGAGCAACATTCTACACACACACACCTTCAAAATGAGGGGTGTTCAGGTTTTTTAAATGCAAAATTGAAAGAATTACGTCAAGTTGATATTGACCAAATTTTGACCGTATCACCCTTTAGTACCTCTGGAAGTGAATTAACTACCTACGTGACATCGGTTTACTGGATCCCGGTAAATGTACCTTACTCTCCGCTTTGGACGTGAACTGCTTGCCTTCAATAAATTGAGTGATTTGACTAGTAACTTCAAAAGAGGTTTTCCTCGGACCGCTGATTCTGAACTGTATTGTTCCTTCATTGCTCAACATTTACCGTTACCGTTGGGACTTCCGGTCTTCTTTGCTTAGCTATTGAAGCGTTACTTCTAGATTATTATTACGCCTATACTGTGGGCTCATAGAACAATAAAACCGAGCCTGGTTAGTAGGTGAACACAAAATACTAAAGTAGAACATTCTACCAACATATAGAGTCCAAGAGATTCCTTCAAAAAGGCACAATATATGCGACCGAAACTTCGGATGAAATCCAAACAGATATTTTGAGAGGAACCAGTCGATCACAATCCTCTTATTGAGTTTAACCGGTATTAACAGAGAAATAAGACGCGTTAACCACGAATCCTTGGGAATGATCGTGACACGCTTCATATGGATGACGAATCGTCCTCATCTCATCCTCAGAAAATGGTACCCATTATTTTAATCGGCATCCTTTTGAAAAATTCCCCTCACAAAAAGGCTTTTCATGTACTGCCTGAGGGTAGGGGGAGAGGGGCAATTTAATTATTACTAAAATGAACGAAATTTACGATGTGCGCTTCCATCGTGCAAACTTTATTTTGATTGCCGAAGCATACACTCAAAAAATTTACCACATAGGTATCTAATGGATGAAAACCATGTGAATTTCACATATCTAAAAATCCCACCACAAAATCACATGAATATCAGGAGGACGATGAAAGTCATGAAAAAAGTGTCGGAAAGGCATTAGAAAATTAATCGTTAAACTCTTTCTTGATAATGTTGTGGCCCTGAAAAGGGCCATTTTTCCAACGCGCTCGGCGTAGTTGCCCTTGCGGAGCATACGGTGAATACGACCGACTGAGAACTGCAGCAGCTGGGCATTCCATGACGGCGGCCCAGTATACCGGAGCACTGGCACCAACGCACTCGGCGTAGTTGCCCTTTCGCCCCCAGGCTCTGCTGCCGCTGCTCTGCTTCCACTGCTCTGGTACTGCTGCTCTGCTGCTCTGCTGCTGGGTCGACGATCGGATAGACAATGATGGAACGGGCGACCTTGTTGGACGCTTATATAGTAGAACAGAAAATATCAGAGGTGTCAGATACTCGCATCTGATGTCTCGGTTGGAGAAAGTATAAGAATATAAAAAAATCAATCGATTTTCACCATCTTTAGACAATGGTTTACCTTTAACCATTTTTCAATAGTTTACAGAATGAAATCAATAGTTTTGAAACATTCAGCAAATTGCTAGAAATATTTCCAATCGATTGATGCCATTATCTCGGAAATCTATCGAGAGACGGTTGAGTTATTATCGTTCAAAATCTTTTAATTTTTCGTAACTCATCCAAAATGACTGTTTTCAATTTTGTACCCCCGTATGTTGCCGAAAGACGTTATCCAACGTCAAAACGGGACGTCCGTGAAATCAGCAGCTATGAATAATGCTATTCCACGGACTACACTGATGAGGCACCTCGCGAGTCCCAATCTCTCTCCACGGCTAGGACCACTTGCTACCGTGTTCAATCAACAGCAGGAAGAGGTACTGGTACAGCATCTCCTGGACTTGGAGAAAAGATTCTACGGGATTACGATGACCGATGTTAGAAAACTGGCTTTTGATTTGGCAGAAATGAACGGATTGCAGCACCCATTCAACAAGTCTACCAAGCTTGCTGGAAAAGCCTGGTTAAGCAATTTTCTTAAACGAAATCCAAAATTGTCGTTCCGGATGCCTGAAGCTAACTCTGCCGCCCGTGCCAGAGGGTTTAATAGGGTATCTGTGTCAGCTTTTTACGATTTGTTGGAAGCAGCGCTCACCAATCCTAAATTCACGGTAAATCGCATTTTCAATGCTGATGAAACTGGCGTGTGCACTGTAAGTTTTGTCTACATTTTGTATTTAATAAAAAAAAAATAAATAGGTTCATCTACATTTCTCCCAGGTTCCCCCTAAGAAACGAAAAATTGCGGCGTTAAAAGGCAAGAAACAGGTAGGTGGTATAACATCTGCAGAACGCGGAGAAACAACCACGGCAGTAATGTGCATGTCAGCAAGCGGCCAGCACCTTCCACCGTTTTTCATTTTTGCTCGCATGCGGATGCACGATGCTTTAAAGAAAGGGGCACCATGTGGAAGTAAATTCGCATGCAATCCGTTGGGTTACATGACAGTGCACTGTGGTCCAGGAAGCAAAATTAGGTGGAATAAATTAATAACTCGAAAAATATTAGAGATAGCGTATTTACGTCTTCTAAACATTTTCTTGTGAGCTTTATTCGCGTTGGTTGCAAAAGTGTCTTAAACGCCAAATTCTACCAGCAACGTAATTTGGCCTCTAACTTTTTTATTTCAATAGATAGAGACTAAATATTGTACAAAGTTGTGAATTATAAAAAATTAAAAAACTTTCTTGAACATTGTTTTTGCTTATCTCTTCTATATTTGGAGATATAAGCCATTTAAAAAAAACAAAAGCCAAAAATCAGTTTTTCTGTCATATTTTTTTTTAAATATCACTTTTTCGGCCTACTATGTTCAGAACGATTATAGTTAATTTTAAAATACATATTTGCTCCAAGGACACTATACCAGTACAAGTCTTCTGTCAAAAGTTATCGTCAGTTTTGTAGTCTTTTAGCTCAAATTTTCAAGCGTAATATTTCAAAATGGCGCAAGTACAACCGATAGTGATACATATCACTTTAAAAAGCATATCAAGAAGTACATTTTAGCAACTTTTGGTGAAGGTAATTTTTGATTTTTTTAAATAAATGCACTTTGAAAATAGGGGTTTTATTCCATAAATCTTCATTGTTCGGACTTCTTTCGAGTATCAAAGAACCAGATCGATGATACACTATTTTGTGAATACATTTATATAATATATAGCATATAATCTTCAAAATAGCATAAGAAATGGAACCCAAGCAAAACTGCTAATGCCCTTAACATAAACAAGAATATTATTTATAGGTATGCGTATTTCATACACAAACAGACGAATTTGAAAATTTTAATCAATCATTCACTGCGGTATGAGT